TAATTAAATTGAATATAAAGATGAAACATTATGTCACACTGTATTATTTTTTTCATTTTATATTACAGAAGGTGAAAAATTGATGGCTGCATTAAAATTCTTACTGGCTTCTGCAAGCAATGAGAAAAATGAAAATATTAAATCTGAAGGAATAAGAAATTAACAAGGAATAGTGGTTTGAATCTTATATATATCGTTTTGTTAAGGTAAACAATCCATTCTTTCCTCTATGTGCAGCACTCAGACACTGAATAAATGGAAAATTAGCCTTAATCACTGGATGCAACACACGTATTGAATATACAAAATGTTATGAATAACCTCGAACGATTAAACAGTTAGAGATGTGAACAATTCAACTATGAAATTTCTTTGTTTCTTTTTTACTATTGAAGTTATATTAATAAAACAAACAGTAAGATATTTATTTGGACGACAGAAATACATAGATGGAATGTACCAATGTATGAACTTATATGTGTTCACAAGATTAATACAAGTCCGTTTACAAAATACAATAAGTGGTATTCAATCCAAGTCGATACATTTGATGAAATTCAACAGTCTGAGATTGGATCCATTTAGGTATGTTTATTAGTTAGTCCGTTGTGCCAACTTAGAATTTGTGATTGAATTTTCTTCGAGATGTTTATATATAAAAACAGTATATTCTATAAATGTTAGATATATTACCTAAATATAAACAAGTATATCAAGACAGATTTCATCATTAACTGAAAATAAAACCCCTGTAAACTAAAGAAAAGTGAACTGTTGTCTCGTTCAAATTGGGGATTTCCTCAGCAGCGCACAGTCAGATACCTGCACTATATTACAGGTCATAATCTACAAGTATCATGATCAAAATAAGGATAACATCGAGCTACGGAATCATACATCAGTGATTGATATTTCCAATGTCAACCGCCCCCAAATGCCCTGGTACGGCCGAGAGTGGGAAAAGTCTGCTCTCCCTCTCCGAATTCTCTCAAATGGCCACACGTTAAGGGAAAGAGTTGGTGGTATTTTGTTGGAGTTACTGAAATAGCATTGTCTGTAATTTGTCAGTCCGTTGACAAAGCGCGAAAAATATCGTTTCGTAAAGAAGCTTATTGTTGTAACGTGTGAGACTGCAGGTTATGATGCGCAGCGTACTTATCGATCGATTCAATGACACGTAAACACGTACGAACGACCAAGAGTCCCGATTGGCCCTGTTTCGCTGTCTATCCCAGCCAGTTGAGGTATGTGGACTCTAATAGAAAGCAATTAACATATCGGCAACGGATGTATCTAAAGTTCATATATAGGCATGTGATTTGTGCAGTTGTAAACAATTAGAACCAAAACAACTCTTTACTCACTATTCAACCAATTATTCTGTTTACATATCCGATGTGGGTTTAGATCTCCAGTTAAGGGAAAGAGTTGGTGGTATTTTGTTGGAGTTACTGAAATAGCATTGTCTGTAATTTGTCAGTCCGTTGACAAAGCGCGAAAAATATCGTTTCGTAAAGAAGCTTATTGTTGTAACGTGTGAGACTGGAGGTTATGATGCGCAGCGTACTTATCGATCGATTCAATGACACGTAAACACGTACGAACGACCAAGAGTCCCGATTGGCCCTGTTTCGCTGTCTATCCCAGCCAGTTGAGTCCAGAACGCAAGTCACAGTCTCTGAGATATGAATCATTATATTTCAAACATACTCTGTTTATATACTAATCAAGCAGACCACATCGTACCATAAAATAGAAAACAACATTTACACAATATTTAACAAGTGAAGTAAATATCGACCAATAGGAATTATACATTTAACGTCCAAGGACACCATTCGACTTCACACGATAATTATTGGTATATTCTTCAGCATACCTAACACCTCTTCCTCTTTTTTGAGGATCCGGAGTTGACATCCGGATTTTAGAATTTTATGCGTCCGTCCTCCCCCGCGAAATAATGATGGGTCCTCATATACCCAAGTAACAGTTAGTCTGATTCTATTTAAAGCATATCTCCCGCATTGAGTACAGGGTCCACTAGAACTGACTAGATGATGAGGATTAGCGACACCAGACATAAGGTCATTAAGGTTTGATTCTTATGAAACATATTCATCAGACCTCTTCAAAATTCCACCAGTGGACAATAGGTCACTAAAATAAACAGCATCTTTGAAATTTGTATTGGATTTCTGACCATTATTTGATGCATGGGACATATTTTCTGGCACGAGGGGTTCTTTTTGTGAGCTGTATACCTCACTGTCTGTACATGTTTCGTGTACAGTGGGATTTGAACCCACGACAGGGCATGCTTCTGAATTGGACATTTCCGAATCGCTGGACGGATCATGAGCGACTGCCTCGTTTGCATTACTGCTCGTCAGGGATTCATAGAGGCTTTTGTTTTCATATTCATACGTCCTGCAGTCATTTTCGAGTTCAGTATGCAAGTGAGAAATTAATTCATCAATTTCTTTCACATCTCCGAAAAATGGGAGATTTAGCAGTCACGTGTGTAAATTGTCCAAAACATTCGACTGGCTCTTTCTGAAACACTGCTGCTGGCGATCAAGTAGTAGCTGCAATTGATCGGGAAGGATATCCATTTTTGAATCAGCAGGGTAATGAGAAATACTGTGATCAATTAACAACCAATGGTTTCCACGAACACCGATAATAAATTTGGACGCTGATTGGTCAAATCAATTAGGCTGTCTCGTCCAATTACAGAGTTCGAAATTTTCTCTACCCCGTCGCCGATTGTTGTATCTTGAAAGTTGATTTTACGATATACCGCGTATAACAGAGCACTAGAACACCAAAACCCTTCCAACTCGCAATAAGAAGACAGAAGACTAACGAAAGGAATATTATTCCAAACAGTGTCAATCATAGTACAAAATTGTCAGGTATTTATAGTTTTTAGTGAGAACAAAATCATCATTAGTCTTTCAATCCGCATACAGGGGGTTATTAGCATTATCCAATCGGGAAGCTACACGTTGGAAATCTAGAATATTCTTCCGAAAGGTGATTGGATGAAACGCCTTCGGCAACTTCCGAGCCTCTTACAGCTTCCTCGAGTTCACCGGTGGTCCGTCGTCACACTTCTTCATTACCTGATCGAACCTTTAGTCCAAGCAACACAGTAGACGACCATTAGTCAAACAACTTTATTGCAACTTGGGTGATCAGTGCGAAACTGACATCGACTAAGTTGGATAACTGTTCAACAGGGTCGCCAGGTAACTACATATGAGTCATACTATATGATATGGCGAACAAATCCGTAATATTCATCCTTAATACGGGTAACTCGGAACACCAGTAATCGGAGCTCATTGTGTTCCTCAGAACCTGTCTACTGTTTGGCTTGAATCTAGGTGAAAATGTTAATTCTTTATGTAACAGTCATGGAATGTACAAATGCCATGATACTGCCTAGGTATCTAAACGATATTCTTGAAGAACCAGTCCAGAATGTCTAATCCAGAAGACAGTATGATGGTCTAAAGAAATTCAATCAGAAGGTCACCAGTGTTCAATACATTTCTTTAGAATCCTGTATCGATTTTTTAGAATCAATATTTTCAACTTCCATAGCACGACCCCCAAAAATATAAAACTGGACGTTTGCTTTATAAAACACTTTCTTGGAGATATTGTATTATGTAAAAGGGGTGGTTAGAATTTCTCTAGAGAGGGTATAAATGCTAAGCCGTTTAGAAATATTTTGAGGGATTGAAAACTCTTATCAAAGTGTATAAAGGTCATTAGTATCCATGGAGTAAAAAGCATCACTTAATACAACCGTGTATTTAATGTTGTCTAGTAAAACTTTAGGACATCACATATATATAAATAAACAAATAAGTGTAATGTGTGTACAGTGGATTTCAATGAATCAATGATTATTAATCGTTATATTAATTAAAGGACGTTCCCAAAATCTTCGGTGAACAGGGCAATAAATATCGAGACCATTAACATTAGCACACGTGGGAAATATACCATCAGTAAATGTGATAGTTATGATCTTTTTCATTTTGCAAAATGCCACATAAGAAAGTCTCATCGGACGACTAAAGTAACTCCAAAATCATCTACGTGAGAACTACTTATGGTTCCAAATATGTCATCAAAAGTAGTCATTCTTGAAAATTCTTAGTGCGAAGAAAGCTTTATTTGTATACAAAATTAAACAAGCGGTCTTCAATAAAAAAGTAGGTGACCAACAACAGAAGTGCTAGGTGTTTATAATTAAGATATTTACCAATGAAAAACTAACGACAGGCAAGGAGCACCACATATCTATTGACCTATATTATATAACAGACTTAGTTACAAAAACGGCCGTTTCACAGATCGATGGTGAAAACTCATAAACAAAATAATCAGTATGAGATTTTTTGACTTGATTGCAGTTTCATTATGGACCGACCTCAACCGGTCAATCATTGGAAACTTGGGAGCAATGTATAGGGCGGAACTACTCCTAAACTATGCACAACCACGACCCTGCCAGGGATCGGACAAAGGAACTTCAGATCTTGTTGCAATAGTTTAGTGGGATAGCACCCGAGACCTCAACAAGTGCGTTGCCTTTATATCACTATTTATATTGATGGTCAATGATCTAAATTTACGGATTCGGTTGATCCTCGAAATTGTAGTCACCGTTTATTTTATATTCAACACTTGAATAAAAACTTAGAAAACAATGGTTAAAATAGCTGAACTATACCAGTCACAGCCTCTTACTAGTATTTAAAGAATTACTGTTTGAAATTGGTCAGTAGTGAGAATAAATGGTATTTAGTCATTTCGAAGAATGAGACAGAAAATGATCGGTAACAGCCAACGAAAAATCGACTCATAATAAAAAGTGAATTCTACTGGTTCATCACTAATTCACTTGTTGAAGAATAGAGCGGGTAATTCTAACTTTAGAAGCTATCTCATTTAAACAGTGCACAACACAATACTAACAATTAAAATGTGAGATTTTAATTATTCAGTAAGTCAATTTTTACAGGAACACAACAATTATACACATATTAGAAGAATAATCACTACTAATACTACTAATATCACATCAAATAGTATAAGCGATTAAAAACGAAACGAGTAAAATTACAAAAAAAACAAATAAAACAATGTATTATAGATGAGAGTGTACTTCAGTTGTAACTACTCACATGTTACTCTTGTCTATGACACACTTTCACCTTTGAAGTAAACAACACCCATAAACATAATCATAACATGTTAAATAAAAACTAAACAAATACAAAGAAAATATTACCACACTACTAAGGACAATGATTTGAAAGTAAAACAAATACACTGTAACAAAAGGGAAGACAATGGTATTATTGTTATTTATGTATATGTATGCATTACAACAATTAGAGAGGACTATAACATGGAAGTAAAGATTTGATGTTGTTGTTGTAAATAGAAAAAAATGTATAGCACTGTATAAAGAACAACATCAGTTTATAATCTATTATAAATGATGGAGAGAACGGATATGTGGACTGTTGGTGGAGGGAAAGCGAAGGGATCAGAATAAATTACTAGATTTTAGGTTTACATCAGAAGGATTGCGTAATTTAGGAAACGTATACAGTCATTGCTTTTCTTAATAGTGTAAATGATATCATTTACCCGATAGATGAGATCATTTAATTATAAATGGAAGAAATATACATATACATAGTACAATAGATTACATTAAGTCATAAAATTCATGTTAAACAGAATGGATATCAATAGTGATTGTTGCATGTATGTATGTTAGATAGAGGCATAAATACAATAAGATAACGCTCACAGTTTCCCAGCCTAAAGCGAAGCACATTAAAACATTACTATAATTAACAAAAAAATTACTAATGATATATATCGGTAATAAAATGAGATGTGGCCGGCAGACATATGATTAGTTAGAGAGAGTATGGAAGTGTCGTATGGTGTGATAAAATGTATATTTGTATAAATAAAAGACTGAATGTGTATACAGAAGAAAAAGATAAAAACAATGTACACGATGAAATTCTCATCAGAGTAAAGAAAAAGGCATGGAAAGGTTATGGAAACAGAGTGCAGAGAGATACTGCCTCACCTGTTCATGGACAAACACGGTGAAAGAACCATATGTCGGAGTAAAAGTATGCGGAAATGCAAAATACAAACAGACAAACAAAAGAAATAACCTTACGTTTATCATTTCTTTTGTATATGGGAAAAACCTGTGTATTCTTCCTCAGAATATATACATATATATTTATAGTAGTTTGGATGTCATAGTGTATGTCTGTGTAAAATGCATACAGACATTAATATTCATTAACAGTATAAAGAAAGTTTTTTAACCGTCTGCTTTTGGGGGAGTGTACCAACCACTTTCTTCGTGAATCTGAACTAGACCACGATAGGAGAGTTGAGCTCGGCGAAGTGAATATTGATCCTATTAAAAAAGCAAAGACTTGATTTGACTGTAAAATGAAGATAAACTATTGTTATAGTGATATCGAAATTTTAATTATAAACTTACAGTATTGAATTGCATAAGCGTTTGAATTTTCCATCCCTTTTATAGAGATATACTTATATGTTGATCAGTAGTGGAATAGCGAACACATTTCTTTTTCTTAACGAACTCATCAGTTAATTATTGTATTAGGATTTGAGCATCCCCATGAAATGTCGGAACACGGGGAAAATAGTACGATATTTCGAGATATTCATCCGTATCGAGCCTAAATGTTAAAGCAGATTGATCACTCTGATCTTATATTTCGCCTACCCGACTTAGTCTAATATATAACTGATATTGGTTTGAGTTTCAGGGAATGAATTATTATATATAAAAGTCAAATAAAATCAGTATAGCGCGTTTGACTGACAACCGATACTAATCAATAATGTCAAAAGATAAAAGCATTTCCTCAAGACCGGTTATTAAGCGCAGATTTAACGAGGGACATATATATATTTACACAGTTGGTAATTAGTATACTGAAAGCAAACATATCGTTGCTGATCACTATATAATAACTAACATTATTACGGTTCTATTATCATTTCTGGCCTATTACAAATTTTCATAGGAGGATCATTTAAAGTGAGTAGCAAAAGCTAAATAAGCTTTTTGGATCTATGCTGATGTTTCTTTAGCCACTGGCTCACTAGGGTTGATGAGACCTCCTATATATGAATGTATTCAAGTGCCTTATCTGCTTTACCTCTCTTATAGATAAATTAGGTAGTGATTTAGAACAATCCTGGAGCAACACTTATGATTTAGATAGAAAGAAACCTTTTGTGGACAATCTTATGATGTCAATTAACGACATCTTTGACAAACATAACTGTATCAATTGCAAGTCATAAGTCAATGACCACCAGGTAGGAGATTAGTTCCTGAAAAGTTAGGTGAAAAAAATTGTTATTTTTAAGAGCCTTCATAAGGTTATGCTTTTTTCGGGATGATATTCAGTGATAAACACAGAGACAAGATATCTCTGTTGATTTAATCAATACATTTAGGGTCATACATACTCTTTGATTTTCCCCGATTTTTTTTGTTTTTGAGCTCTAATCAAGCGCTCTGGAGGATTATCAAAATCAGTATTTTATGAACAATATTTATCAAAATCTTTTTTCTGTGATTGTCACAAAGGAACCTCTGAGTTGCCTCATAAATCAGAGGGATTAGTGATCGCAAATAGTTTGACAGAATAACATCCACTATCTAAACATTAGAAAATATATTATATAATCCAACCGTTAAAACTGAACCACGATCTTTAAAGACAATCTGAGTTAATTTATCAGGATTAACGATTTCTCCTTGCTAAAAGTAAATTATAGAATTTTTGAAATATGAGTCACCACAACTTCAACCGCCCTGGTACGGCCGAGGATGAGGAGAGTTCGTTCTCGAAATGCTCTCAACACGCGTACATAGCCACCACCAGGGAAGTACTCACTGCATTCTCGTGACGGACGTGTTGTTTACGAGATTGAGAGGACGAAAAGAGAATGTTCGACGCTTTAACTGGGTTGGTAGACACTGAGGGTTCACCTAGGAGAGTTGGAAAACCCTGATTCCAAATCAGTGGTGCACATGGGCTCCATTATCTTAAGGAAACAAATGGCATATGAACCTATTGTCGGTCACCAGCTAGTACGAAACTGCATCTCCTTAGGTTTCTCCACTGCCTTGAGGATTTAGATCAAAGGCTCCGGGTGTCCACTAAGAAAATCACCTGCTTCGGTTTGAGCACCCGAGCAGTGTCCCAGCCTACACGCAAACCCAATGATTTTTGTGGCACAAAAATATTTTGGTGCCCCTTCGTATCAATATTTATGTGTTTAAATATAAAAATAAGTAAAGAACAATGAGAAAAAGCAAGACAGTAAAAACAACTTACATCTGTTGCGCTAAAATTTATACGTGCACGACCTTTCACTAAAGTTGCAGCTATTTGCATGATAGATGATTCGATATCATAAGCGCTTGACCAACCTTGTTTTGTAAATAATTCCATGCAAATTGCTCCACCGGCTAAAACATAACCATTTTCAATCACTGGATAAAGAATACGAACAAATGGTGGCTCAAAAGGATATGTTTCCTATTTAAAATAAAAATTACTACAATTAGAATGAAGAATGAGATACAAAATATAATCTGGTATATTCTCATAAAGTACATAAAGAAAGTTGGTCGATTTTTTCCAACAAAGCACTAAATATGACAATAAACGGATATTAAGCATACATTGGAAATCACTGAAATTATGGACCGACCCAAGTTGGAATGCTGAGGAGTCCCATACTAGGACAAAATGGTTGCTCAGTGCTTTTAGGTTTTCAATAGTGTTGTAATTTAGATTGGTTCATTATTTCAATTAAATTCAACAATACCCATAACCCCTCATAGAAAAACGTTCGAGAGTCATAATTAGTTGACTATAGTTTAGAAATTAAGACAATATTAAACTCCAGAGAATCTGTTTTAAAAATATTAAAAGGGACAAATGTATCATTTACAAAATAATGTATATAAGAGAGAGAAAAGAACAGGAATTCAGTGCGTCACTTGAGAACATAGAAGTAGTATTAATAACTATCTGTAAGAGAATCAACAGCCACCGTGATATGAAGGTATACCTACTTATCTAATGAAAACAAGTCATCTCGGTCTTATATGCAAATCTCACTAAATAAACGTAATACATAGAGCTTGTTATTTCGTACGAACAATAAGATTGATTCATTTAAGGAGTTACATGTTGATTGAGCGACCTATGCTCCTCCACGTGGGGTAACAGGCGTATGTAAGTAAGTATATTGGTACAGCGTTATTTAGTCTGTTTCTAGAATTAAAAAAACGCCTCAGTGCGATTTATGGGGCTAAAAAAACTACTGAGGCTTGTATATTCCTAAACTTTGGACCATTTTGCAATCAGAGGAAGAATTCCAAAAGGTTTCCTACTCCTGGCTTATATCTTAAACCAAAGAGAAAAACCGTTGAATTATGTGTGGTTTCAAAAAGAAAATCAACATTTGATAGGAAGTGAAATGCATGGATACAGTATGAAATGTGACCAATGATAAACAATGGCACTTTATTGGAACTACGTTAATCAATATATATATATATATATATATATATATATATATATATATATATATATATATATATATATATATATATATATATATCAGTTACATGACAAAACACTGCAAAATGTATTTTGCATGAGTAAGAGATCTACTATGTAGCTACTCATGCCAGTGGTAATATTGAATACTTCTAGATGTGCCTAGGCAATTGACCATTCCTGACTGTCCACATGGTGAAATAATATTACTTCGTGATAAAACTGAGAGATGAGAACAGTGTTAATTATTTTATTGATCTGGGAGAGTTACAGAAGCGACAAATGGGCAAGTGCTGATCACCTGTGATCTACTGGCTGAAAACTGAACGCCTTGATTACTAAAACTACGAGTTCACCAAAACTTATGTGTATGTTATGGTCTGTCTAGCTGTACATATTAAACTATTGATACAACGCAAAATTCTCTTCAAATGAAATTATATTATTCTATCTTATGACACTTAACTGAGAAGGAAGGTAAGTCGGCTCATTGAATATGGTGAGATTCCTTTTTTGGAGCTAAATATGGTTAGCAGTGGTTTGTTATCTCTGAGTATGAAGAACTGTCAACTATATATTTCATAAAACCTTTGATTGCGAACACCAAATCCAATGCTTTGTTCTCTATTTATGCATAGCTTTTCTTCGTAGTTTTCATTAATTTCTTTAGATAGTGTACCCAATCGCAACACGTTGGGAAATACGGTACAAAAATAGCACCACAACCCTGAATACAACAAGATTACAAATCTCATCCTAGTAAACGCAAAGTTGAAATGCAATAGCGCACCCCATCCTCCAAAGACAAAACTTTGGATCATTTTTCAGCTAACATGGCGTCTTTAACAACATCGTTCCGACATCTTTGTCTGAACAACTCGGTGAAAAAGGAAACATCATGCATATTTTTTACCTGCATTATCACTCTCAACAATCAAATGGACGTCAAATAGTTTGTTAGAACTTTTAAATTAGAGCTTACCAATAGCTGGGAAGAGTAAACGAACCAAGCGACACCTAGAGGAGCCTTATTGGAAGAATTGTTAATGGACAGTAAGAAATGAACGGAATATGACACTACTTTCAATAAAACAGCAACTATCATCCATATCAATTGCTAAATTCATGCCTGAAACTAAGATGTATTCAAGAGACTATTGTCGTCAACATAATTGGTAGGAAATTTAGATAATCATCAAGGGGAATATTTTGATGAAGACGTAATATGTCATTATACCTAAACAACTACCGGGCTCTTTACAATCTGAATAGTAAAACTTCGTCTCGTGAAGCAACCATACATGTAGAAAGAAACCTATTGGATCTGATGATACAGTACTGAATGTGCAAACAAACAAAACAAAATTTATGGCATTAATAACAACTAACTTTGAATAGAAATTGTAATCCTAAGTGATCTTCTAATTTGGGATGATTTGTAAGTTCCTGAAGATCTTTATGCAATCCACTGTCCTCATCGACTCTTTTGAAAAATACATATAGAATATTAAAAAAATAAACTGAATTCCTAATAAAATTAACGTATAAAATAGTCATTAAAGCTGCTTAAATGTATGTTCTTAACTATCATATCCTTGAAGACAAAGAAGTATATTCACAATATTTTAGTTATGAAGTAATACGATCTGCCATTTAAAGATATGAGGCAGCCTTATATAAGAAATAATCAGACTACTGATAGTTATATTATTCAACTGAGTCAGATTAGTTGACTTCTCAGTCAATCAGTCAACATAAGGCCTGGTATAAATGTATCTTGGTCTAATTTCCTACACAACGCCAGTACAACGGGATGAAATCATAGTAGTATGTCAGTTATATAGAGAAAGAATAAATGAAGAGTAATGAGATCAGAGAATGTAAAATACAAGCTATATAATGGTTGAATTGAGATCGATTTACAACCTTTGCAACAATGACGCTGTATGAATGGTGGTATTGTCCTCAGTTTATTTAAGTAACATTGTGCTATAAAAATGTTTACTTCCCAGATGTCCAATGACCTCTTTAAGACTTTGTACAAACATATAAACTGACAGTGCAGTTGTAATGCATGTTACTTACATTGACAGATACAAGTAGTATGTAACACCGATAAAAACTGGAAGTTCTGTCAAAAGACAGTTGAGAAAACTGAACTGAAGAAAACAGAAAGGAATTGAGAAGTGGGAGAAACATGAAGGATGTAAAGGACAATTGATGAAAGGTTTGCAGATGAAGTATTTAACGTATGGTTTCATATTTTACCAAAAAACTGCAATTTTGCGCTAGATAATAAATTGGTTATCCTTATCAAGTCTTCTTTCGCTACACAGTTAAGCAAGTTTTAAACATTATTTTGTAAACTAATTCAATAACAAAAATTTCAGGGATAAGTCTAAAGAAAGCGTGAGCTAGTGGTCGTAGTTAGAATCTAATTTCCATAGGAAGATGTTTTAACTTTATAAAAATGGAAACATCATACAACAATTCAAAAAAATATTTAGTGACCAAGAAGTTGTTAATGAGATTTTTAAACCGAAGTTGTTATTACCGCTATTACTGTAATTATCATTTATCTTGTACAGAAACTAAAAGAAAAAATAATTAAGCTAATATATTCGGGATAGTAAGATGTGATTGGCTAACGAGTGCCTATAGACACACCTATATAATAGTGTAGATTCATCTCACTAATAATTTCACTCGGAATTCACTCCATGTTGACTGACTGTAATTTGCATCAATAAACTAAAGTTTGCATAATCTGTTTCCCAGTCATTGCTTGGACTTTGACTACTGACACGTGATCTACTTTCCGGTCTACTATCTGGTGATCAAGTACGACTGGTCAGTTGTCGTATTATCTGGTATGGCAGTAATCTTATTGATAGTGTATCATCTAGTGTTTAAGCGAAGGATTAAGTAAAGTACAAATTATTTTCTGCGTTATATCAAAAGCTTATGAATGCAGGGTGGAAATGAATAGATTCTTAAATAAATTAAATGATTTATTTGTCCTCCTTTCTTTAAACATCCATCGTATTTTTTTGTATGAAAGGTCGTGAGGTATCATGAAAGCAAAAATTTGTTACACTACAGTAGATATCCCGAAAGCAGCTGCCACTTTGATGTGGTGGTCGGGCATACCTATCGTGATGATTCAACCGAACTATATTAGCTGAAATACACGTTTTTTAGGTTCTAACATGCCAGGAAGGTCGGTTAGAGATCGGCAAGACTAAAAGCAGCAACCTAAGGTACGAAGAAGTACTGTAGAGAGGTGTGACGGCTGTAAAGTGTTTCCAACGAACAGTCAGTATCTAAAGAGATGTTGCCATCTCACAACGGAAGAGGTTAGATAAGATCAACTCTGAAAATGTTTCACCTCACCTTACACCCTGGATTTCCGTCTCAGTCGGTGAAGTTTTTTGCAGCACAGAGTTAACACATGAAAAACGTCTCATAAAAAGGTGTGCACGACCGACCACAACTAATCTGTCTTCCTTTTGAGATCCCTCAAGAGGAAATATCATTCGACCGTGTAGGAAGCTGGGAAGTGACAACTGCCCTCATACCTCTAACTGATGTACGTACGTACCACATTCCACGATGCGTTTGATTGACTGACTATAGTAGATATTAAGAGACGTATACACTGTAATGCTTAGGTTTCATTTAATGACCTTTATGATGTCACTGATCGAAGTATAATAGCGAAAGAATGAATTACAGTTACTTGCTACTTGATTTAACGGATCGATTTTGTCATCTAATGCTATCAAAGTGTAACATTACATTGTTGTTTATCAATAAAACGTAGATGTTTGTGCCTATGAAGCCAGTTTAACATTTTATTTATTTATTTGAACACATAGATACTGGTACAAGGGTGCACCAGATACATATGTGCCACACAAATCTTGTTTGATTTGTGTGAGGGCTATGATACTGCTCGGGTGCCCAAACCGAAACATGGCCAGTTTAACAGAATTATGTTAAATAAAATAAAATGCAAGCAAGATCAAAATACGCTTACTTGTATAATTTAACTTTCCAATTATAAAGACTGTCATTTTGTAGTTCAACAGTGAAAATACCTAGCAAAAAAAACAAACGAATAAAATAATTTAAAGTAGTAAGAAAAAAACTGAAATAAATTGTTTGGATGTGATATTTGTTGGCTTTAATGAAATAAACAGCTTACTCGATTATGAATAATCTCGAAATAAAATTCATTTATTTTATAAAGTGAATAGGCAGACACATAACGACTAAATATATGCATTTATTGTTGACGTTTAATAACTTTAGTCAGTCATTGTACTATAAGCTGTGCTACAACAATCTGGGTCATCCACAGACATACGTAACGTATTTAGATGGTGGTCGGAGGTAGTCAACAGGAAACCCTGGACCCGGGTTTCGTGCTATTTGGCACTCGTCAGTAAGGTGTACCTGATCGATAGCATTCGATCTGCACTAATAAGGACTAGACAAGCAAGACATTGATCACCACCCAGTGATCAATCAATTGTAAATACGTAACGTATTTATGACTATTGAATCCGTCAAATGCATACTGTAGAGATAAATAATGCTCTTCAAATTAAAACAAGCAGTTATAAAAAATTAGATTAAAAACAAGAACTAACCAGTCAATAAATATATTTTTTGTAATAAAAGGTTAATGATAATAGCCCACCTTGTTTGTAACTGTCTGATCGATAAATCTCTCTTAGCTCTTTCATCAAACGGTCAGATGACTGAATTGAACCCTTAGTAATTCCCTGAAGACATAATAATAATAATAATAATAATAATAATAATAATAAACGTTAGTAGAAAGTTGGCTAATATAAATAACAGAAGCGGTGTGAAGTACACCAATGAATGGAGTAAGCCTGTTAGATATAATCAACATAGCGCCTGATACGAATATGCGTTTGTCTAACTTTTCATACTACATTCGCACGATGAAATGAATTTTTATCACGAAATGAATGGTGAAGTAACTAAAATAATGTAAAAACGATGATAATGAGAGACTGAGCATTAAGAATGTTTTAAGAAAAGGAGTGAAACGTTTTGTATGAGGGAGTACTGAAATTCATGTTCTACAGAAAGATTAAGTGATTGCATCTAGGGTATTTTAATTTGTTCTGAGTTGAATCACATAGTATTTCTAACAACTGGTTGGAGTTATCGCGTGGACCCCTAGTCAGGTAGTCTGCACATACCTACACACTTCAGACTAACTGTCCGATACTGAATTAAAGAATCATCAACAAATTTATTTTCTTCAGAGTACATTCGGCAGAACAATGCACAGAATATTGAAAGGTATGCCAAAGGCTTTATAATAACAAGGAACGATTTCCCCCACAAGCCGGAGAACGATTGTGGAGTGGCAGCTTAATGGACTAGAGCAACTGATGGGTAACAGGTTTGAACTGTGCTTCACCTAGTCCCCCATTTGGACAGTCGATTTATCATAGTGGTAATAATAATAGCCTTATTCAATATTATATGTTTAGTAAGATATTTCAATAAGTTCATTTACTCTTCATAAACTTCACAATACATATTCGTTTATATACATAAAATTATATTAAATTAAATGAGATTTTCATAGGAAATGAAAAATCTTCACAACAGTGAACTGTCTGCAAGTTCAAGAGTGTAAGTGTTTGGTCAGATTAGCTTTCAAAGTCTGTTTATTACATAGTAGATAAGCTAGATACGGTATCGTCGAGTTTTTGTACTTTTCTTTGTGTGCATGAATTCTACTTTGACTGAGTCTGACTCCCAGAAGATAGGGAAGTATCACTAGGCTCAATACACACAGACACATAAAAGTGGAAATTCAAAGCTGAGTTTACTATCCTATACTTGATCAATGTGAGTAAGATTTGGAAAACAAATGAAAATGTTATAGTTATGAAGTAACTACATCTTCTTACGATCTGTATCACCATAGTCATATGATCCAAAACTAAAAATAGTTTTGAAAATTAGGTTAAAGAGAAAGGGTAATTTAATTTATCCAATCAACAATCGGAATTGTCACTAGTGTTTCAAAAAAATATTAATGCGATAATCTCTTGAATGTTTAATAAAAACATCACCAGTTTGTGTACTTAATTTTCGTCTATGGGGATATACAACATTTGAGTGTTAGAGAATTTCCAAACAATCATACGTTTAAAAGTAAATAAACTTTCTCTACCACACAATCGCAGTGATGGTAGATCATTCATAAATTAATGATTTTTACAATGATTGTACAAATGATTTGAATACTTGAATGGCTTTTTCTTTTCCTCTTAGCAAAAATTCCATTCAGAATAGTTTTCTTAAAGATCAGAAAACCATGAATAAACAAATTTGGAAGAGATGACAAATAACTTTAATTGAGGTTGGAAATTTCAGCGACCAAATAATGATCAAGTAGTACTGTATTTACTTTGGTCCCAGGATCCCGATTTTTTCTAGCAATTGGCGTTCACTCGTATATATTTTTTATTTATTTCAACACATAGATAATGGTACAAAGAGGCACCAAATACATATGCGCCACACAAATCTCATTCGATATGTGTGAGGGCTGTGATACTGCCCGGGTGCCCAAACCGAAGCAGGTATATACATATATATATATATATATATATATATATATATATATATATATATATATATATATATATATATATATATATGACAATGAAACATACTTGTATTTGAGTAGCCTTGAGTTTTTCCAACTGTTCAGCATCTTGAGATGAAATACCATCGTATTCAGGACGATCATCTCCCGTAATACTATTTAAACAAAAGATGACAGAAAGATAAATTCAAGAAAACGAAACATATACACACAAACAAACATATATATGTGTGTTGGGAAGAAGAAACTATAATTCAGTGATGAATTGTATTTCCTAGTCAAGATAGTTAATTTATTGATTTTGCGAATTCTAGACACGCACATCAAATTATTGATTAACTCGGAGTTCAATTTATTCGAATTCATTGGATGATCAAACATTTAAAACACGTAACATTATTACCATCAGTATTATTGTGGAGAAAACAGTTAACAGATGCATTCCAGGTAGGGACTGAAGTGAGGCACGGTTGCTTACTCTCACCCTTTCTCTTTTTTCTGGTGGTTCACTGGATTATGAAAACCTCTAACATCTAACGGGAAGCACGGAATACAATGCACATCTCAAAATCAATTGGGAGATTTGACTTTGCAGACGACCTGACCCTTCTATTCCATACACACCAACAATTGCAGATGAAGATAACTACTGTAGCAAAAGCCTCCGAATCAGCAGGTCTCAACATACACAAAGGAAAAACCAAGATCCTCTAACACAACACGGAGAACACCAACTCAATAACACTTAATGGATAAACTCTAGAAGAGGTGGAATCTTTTACGTACCTAGTCAGCAGCACTATCGATGATCAAGGAGGGTCTGATGCAGACGTAAAGGTAAGGATTGGGAAAGTAAGGACAGAATTATTATAATTGAAGAACATATGGAACTCAAAACAACTGTCTGCAAGCCAACACCAAAGTCGGAATCTTCAATACGAACAAGACAGTTCTAATGTAAGGAGCCGAGACTTCGAGAACTACTACAACCATCATCAAAAAAGTACAAGTATTTACAAATAATTGTCTACGCAAGATATTGAGTGTCCACTGACCGGATACCACCAGTAACACCCTACTGTGGGTGGGGACAAACCAGCTTCCAGCTAAATAGGAAATTAGGAAAAGACGTTGGAAGTGGGATAGAACATACATCTCGGAAATCAAAATGCATCACGAAGTAAGCCCTACTTTGGAGTCGAGGGAAAGAGCATGACCAAGGAACAGTGCGTCGGGAGTTGGAAGTAGACATCAAAAGAATTGATAACAATTGGAATGGATTGTACAGGACAGATATGGATGGAGAATGTTGGTGGACAGCCTATGTTCCTCTATGAAAAGTAACAGGGATAAGGAATTAAGTAATTATTGTGGAAGTTCTTTTAATTAGTTGCTGAATAAATCAGTCTGCTTATAAGGTCTTATTTTCTTTCTTGTATCGACAAAGCAGTCATCTTATTTCGTTGTAAGTGGCAGGTAGGTGTTCTACAGTCATAACAAATCAGCTTAGCCATTAGCGGAAATCTGTATTTGGTTCAAGCCACAACACTAACATAGCACTCTTGTTTCAAGTCATTACAATATATAGATATGATTTACACTGAGTAAAATTTACCAATTATATAAACAATAATTAAAAATGGAAATACTAAAGGTTGGGACTGAAATATTAATACGACAGTTTACACTTTGAAATTCCACAAAGAGATAGTATCGATATATGCTGAAAAAAAAGGTTGATTAAGGAATTGGAAGTTTGAAAAAATAGTCGGTGAGCAGTGTGGGGATTAAAATGTTGAAAATTTCAGCCAATTCGATGCGACTCAGTAGCCAGTTAGAGATCCGCGTTGTTGAGTATATGAAATCACCAGATATAGCATATGAAGGAGAAATCAATACGTACTGAAGGTAATTATTATTCGGTTGACTTTTAATGCATTTTTATTCTATGAATTTACTTAATATGAAGTTAGTTATTAGAATTTGTTGTGAATTTTTTCATTGCAATCATAAATTCACTCTGATTTTGTACTGAAATGACGACTGACAAGCTGATAAATTTTTGTAATTAGTAATAACTGACTTTAATTTGTATACGTGATGAAACTAACTTGAGTGTGATTTAATTGTTCTTAGAGTTTCTATGAAGAAAACCTTCTATACAAACATGGACTTTTCATTTTAGTTAATGAGTAGGATAGAAGAATATAGAAGCAGTTTTGATCATCTTATTGAAGTCAGAGTTGAAAATAATTAGCTTATTGTACAAGTATATCATTTTTACGTACTACTCTTTGAGGTATAGTTACGTGATAGCTACGGATACTAACTGGATGTTAACAAACCGTAATTTAAATGTTATCCCATGGTTTACAGTTGTACTTTTAAGATTTTCATGGTTTGGTAAAAGGCAAATAGTGAATACACTTACGTTACTGAATTCAGCCTAATAATAGTTACACAGGTTAAATCATGTTAAAAGTATCAAGTTCTGAGCTGAGAAGAAATAGCTATCTGAAGTTCTATTTTCTAGTAGCTCACTGTTTAGTGGAAATTATTGGACAATTTACTTATATTTATAAAAGAAATAGTGTTAATGTCGGTTGTTTTGACAAAAATAATAAGGTTAACTAAAAGCTGTAAAACTTACGAAACTTCAAATGGATCGTTCAATGTCACATCTTCATCTTCGAAACCAGTATCTTCCGCATCACTATTCCCGTCGCCAGAAGATGATTGACGAGGTTCAGCAGTAGAAATAGTGTCGACAGGAAGCTATAATTGGAACAGATCAACAGAAATGCGCACAGAGAAGCCATACCACCTAAATGATAAATAAACTTGCAAGTTTCATGCAATTATTTCCCTTTATGAATTTAAATAAAGCAAGAAAAAATATTGATGTAGAATAGTATGAATTCATAATATTTCGAGGTTTCTCGTCAGCTGCTTACAACCAAATATGTATTAGAATTTTACCTTGAGATAAGAAATAGTGTGAAACAATTGACATAAATTATTTACATTCAAATGTCAAGACAGTTCTACTGTATGGGGCGGAAACCTGGAGAACTACGAAAGCCATCATCCAGAAGATACAGGTGTTTATTAACAGTTGTCTACGCAAAATACTTCAGATCCGTTGGCCGGACACTATTAGCAACAACGTACTGTGGGAGAGAACAAACCAGATCACAGCGGAGGAAGAAATCAGAAAGAAGCACTGGAAGTGGATAGGACACACATTGAGGAAAGCACCCAACTGCGTCACAAGACAAGCCCTCACATGGAATCCTCAAGGCCAAAGGAAAAAAGGAAGACCAAAGAACACATTACGCCGAGAAATGGAAATAGACATGAAAAAGATGAACAAGAATTGGATGGAATTAGAAAAGGAGGCCCAGGACAGAGTGGGTTGGAGAATGCTGGTCGGCGGCCTATGCTATATTGAGAGTAACAGGCGTAAGTAAGTAAGTAAGCTGATGAGAAACCACGAAATATAATGAATTCATATTATTCTGTATCAATATTTGTTCTTGTTTTATTTAAACTTGCAATTGTTTTTCTCTGAGTTTTATTGCTCTCGGAGTTTTAGTTTTTGTAGATACAGCTTCAAAGTCAGTTAAAAGGTCAACTTTATTGTCAGCTAATGGAAGAGTGAAGTAATAAAAAACCTCTGAATATTTACAAGTTATTTCTTAATTATTTGAACACATAAATGTTGGTACAAAGGGGCACTAAATACGTATGCGCCACACAATATTATTGAGAATGTGAAGGGATGGAGAATGTAAGGTGTGTATGTAAAAAAGACGGACAATAACGAACAGAAATAAGTGTATGATAGTGAAATAGTAATAATGGGAGAAACACTTCAGTTAGCAAAGGTACAACCAGAAATAATTTTTCAAGTTAACGAACTTACGTCCATTTTTTATGAAGAAAGTAAAATAAAGTTACGACGGGAACGCCACTGGCTTCTATTCTGAGCCATATCTGATGAAGTCTCTAACCACTGGGTTGCACTATCTCTCGGACCCCAACTAGGGAGTCGTGAAGAATCAACAGAGGCCAGTCCTCCACAGATTTCTTCCATACCACGACACCCTGTCATATACTGACCACCTCTCCGCTTTTTCCAACCAGTACCATAGTCGGCAAGTAATGTACAACGTGGTATTCTCTGGGACGACATTCGTAGAACATGCCCAAGCCACCGAAGTCGTTGTTTCGAAATGGTGACACCAATTGCATTATCGTCTCTGTGCCCGAACACACGATGCCGAACCTCTTCATTACTAACATGGTGTTGCCACTGGATGTCAGCAATCCTTCGGAGACAACGATGATCGAACAGAGTCTTCTGACGTCCTCAACTCGGAGACGCCAGGTTTCACAAGCATAGAGCGAAACCGCTCTCACCGACGCGTTGTAGATCCGACCTTATACAGTCAGACAAGCATCACGAAGGCACCAAAGATGGCTCAGATTGGCATGAGCCGCTCTGGCTTTCACTATACGTTGGTGGAGAAGATTTGTAGCTCAGGTGGATGATTTTGGTGGAGTTTTGTTCTCTGAGCTGGATGGTTTGGTCGTGCATTTATCTCATCACTCACACCCCCACCAGCACTTATGCAGCTACCTAGATACACAAACTTCTCGACTACTTCTATCTACTCACCATACAGAGTGAGTACAGAATTAGAATCCTGCCAGTCTTGTAGAAGTACTTTGGACTTCGAAGATGCAAAGCACAAACCGTACCTACGGACATAGATTGCCAACTGATTAAGTGCGGATTGCATGGCTTGGGCATTATCGCACAGTGATCTTGAGTGCTGTTAGAGGTGTCAGGGCGATTATCACTTCCCGGTTGCCCACACCGTGGAAGGGCTCTTCTGGAGGTACTCGAAAAGGAAATTGGATTAGAGGTGGCCTTAGAGACCTGAGAGCGTGACCGCAGTGCCCAAGGGACAACTGCTTGAGGTCGGTCACGCACGACCTTTTTATGAGTAATTTTTGTGTTAGCTCTGCACTTGTTGAGACATTACCGCCGTACACGGATATCCATGGGATAAAGCGAGATGTGCATTTTTAGGCTCGACCTTTTCCAACCCCACCCCTCCTTGTGGGAAGGCAGCATCGCTGTCATGCTGGTTGTCTGAATGAAACACCTTACTGCTGTCACACCTCTGTACAGTCAGAAGTACGACTTCGCCTTCAGACCTTGGGTTTGTTACTTTTAGTCTTACCGCTCTTCAACCGACCTGACTGGCATGGTAGGACCTTGAGAAACGATTGTTCCAGCCAGTATAGCTCGATTGGTTCATCACGATTAACAGGACCGATCACCACGTGAAGGTAGCAGAAAAGGTCGGTCGCACAGTGTGACATTAGCATCCGCGGACTCAAGGTCGAGAGGTTTTTCTCCAGGCAAAAGATCCACACCGCCATTACTTACATTCATCAGAGCTGTTTTCAGAATATCGTCGATGGCAAAGTTGAAGAGGAATGGTGAGATTTGGCAACCCTGCCTAACCCCACTGCTCGAATGGAACAATGGAGAAAGGTGGTTGTATGCCCTCACTCTGCCTGAGGTGTTTGTATACAGGGCTTTTAGGATGTTAATAAATTTCTCAGGCACACCCTTCTTCAATAGACGATCCCAGAGAATAGTCCTATCTAACGATTCGAAGACAGCCCTATGTCAAAAAACACTAAGTATGACGGTGTTCTAACATTTGGAGAAGGGTGAAGGTATGATCAATACATCCGCGACTAAAACAAAAACCGGCCTGCCCCTCGCAAGCCAATGTTTCTCGAGTTTTGAACAACCTACGAAGTATGACGGAAGCCAATAGTTTGGACGCAATCGGAAGTACACATATCCCCCGATAGTTGTTATAAAGACGATGTGAACCCTTTTTGAGGATAGGGACAATTATCAACTCATTCCACAATGATGGGACACCGTCTAACTGCCAAACCTTTTTCAATAACTCAGTCAGTTCCTTAACCAGAAAGTCACCACCATCTTTGAAAATCGTCGGAGGTAAGTCATCTGGGCCAGGTGATTTGTAACGCTTCAAGAGTTGGAGTTCCTTGCGGACTTCCTCCTCGTTTGGTGGATCAGTCGTCACCGGCCATGGAGGGCAGGACAGTCTGACCGATGTTGCCGGAGCAGCAGGCCAGTTGAACTGCCCTTCGAAAAATTCTGCCCATCGTCCAAGACGTCGATGGATGTTAGTGATTGGCATCCCATCATCCTCGCTGATTGTTTCGCTCACACCAGACTTCTTGCTGCCAGTGGCTCGGATGAGCTGGAAGAGCTTCCGGTAGTTACCAGATGCAGCTGCTGCTTCCAGCTCATTAGCACGCTCCGACCACCAGGCTTCTCGGTCCTTACGCAAGCTTTGCCCAATTTCCCTACGTAACATCCTTCGTTTGTGGTCAAACTCACGGTCACCCGGAGTGGACCGACGGGCTTCAATGAGTTGTAAGGAACCAGAAGAAACCCAGTGCTTAAAAGCGGGACGTTTCGCAAACCCACAACTGACTGTTCCCGCCATTTTCATGGCGTCACGCAATTGCAACCAATGCTCATCTATACTTTTCGGTGGGGTGGTAGCTAGCCTAGAGGTTAGCTCTGTTCGATACTTACTTGCAACAGAAGTTGCAACCAACTTGCTGACATCAATCCTTTGATGGTGGTCACTTCGTTGTCCACTGAAAAGTAAGGCAAGATTGGCGTAGACCAAGGCATGATCAGAGTCCAGATAGGTACTCCAAAAGGAGCGGCAGTCTTGTACACAACCACGCCAGCGGTAGCTGATCGCGATGTGATCAATCTGAGTCCAGGCTTGGGATGCAGAGGGAGGACGCCAGGTGGCACATCGGCGATGACTGTGCCGAAAGTTAGTGCTGGCCAGAAACAGGTTGTGGTCTGTGCAAAGTTGCAGTAGACGGTCCCCGTTATCTGTCCTGCCACCAACAAGTCCCCATCGGCCACCTAAACGACTCTCTTCTGTGCCTAGACGCCCGACCTGAGCATTCAAGTCTCCGGCTAGTACTACAATATCTGTCGAACGCACTTTCTGGAGAAGAACAGTTAACTGGTGGTAGAATTCATCCTTGATTGCATCCGAGCTGCAATCTGTCGGGCGTAGGCGGAGATGACGAAAAGACATCGTTTCTCACGCCGATTTCTCCTCACTTTGATGGAACTCTCTAATCTAACAGCACATAACCGACTGTTAATGGGGATCCAATCGATTAGTGCTGCCTCAGCTCTAGCTTTTAATGAAACACCAACGCCAGAAAAAGCGGACGAATACGCCACAGGGTCCCCAAATAAACGCACATAAAACAAGCTTTTCGAAGTGACAGATAGAGAGCGAATTTGCGGTACGTCACTAGTCTTTAATACGGGTCTCGGATAGACAACAAACATCGATATTAATACTTTAAAGACATAGCCAGCCCTATCTGTTGTCCGACATTCTGTTTGTGTGTGGGCTGTGTTGCTGTCCGGGTGCCCAGATCGAAGCACGTGTTTTTATTAGGGAGCCACACCCCGAGCCATTGACCTAAGGGTCTAACCCACAAGGCAGTAGAGCATCGTGAGGAGATGCAGTCCCATGGTAGCCAGTGACCAAAAATTGGTTCACATGCCGTTTGTTCCCTCAGGATACTGGAGCCTATGTGCACCACTGATTTGAAATCAGAGTTTTCCAACTCTCTTAGGTGAACCCTCTGTATCTACCAACCCAGTTAAAGCGTCCAACATTCGCTTTTCGTCCTCTCAATCTTGTAAACACGTCCGCCGCTAGAATGCAGTGAGGACTTCCCTGGTGTTGGCTATATACACGTGGTCATGTGAGAGCATTTTGAGAACGAACTCTTCTCATCCTCGGCCGTACCAGTGCAGTTGGGGTCCTACTGTTTCTTATTAAGTCGATAACATGGTGTTCATAAATCGCTGAATGGACGAGGATTATTAAATTAATTGTAAAAAATATAGGAAAGCAACCACTTTGCGTAAAAGTTAGTAGGAAAGTACCATTTACCTAAATGGAAGCTGAATATATTTAAATCTTTGTTCCTCGTGAACTCATACTAAAAATATGACATTTAAAATAACGTTAGAAATAATGTATCTAAAAGTTAAAACCCAGAAAACAAAATTATAGTACATTAAGGGACGAGCTCGAAAATGTTCTATTCTGCCATATATGGAAAAAAATTAGTTTAACAGAACAAACATAAACCTACAGGTTCAGGACTAAAGTCTGGACAGAGATTGTTCAATTCAGGAGGATTTGGCAAATTTTTGTACCGACATAATTCAGTTACAAGTATCTTTACTTGACGATCAATCTGTAGTATGGTTGAATGATTATTATTAATTTGATAACAAAAATAATTTACCGTATAGTTGCTTGGCTCAACTGTTTGTAGTCTTCGGAAAATTTGTGTGACGAACGTGTCATCAGAATCGGAAAACCATATTGGAGATGATTGTGGATATGTACCCTAATTATTTAAAATGAATAAAAACCACTTAACACTAAAGATACAGAAAATCAAGCAGACTAAATTACAACAGGCTATTAACTTTTACAAGCTTTTTAAAAAAACAATGAATCTCAGTAACTAATAGTTTTAAATCACTTAACGAATTTTAGCCGTAATGGTGTTTTGTTTCCGAGTTGTGAACTGAATCATACCAACCTAGGTTTTTTAATTGTGATATGGTTTCGGGTAACGGCAACTATTCCAACGACATTGTGAAAGCGGACAAAAGTCTTTTTTCTCAGCTACTACTTTAAAGAAAAATTACCATTGAGCTAGATAGAATACTGCTGAGAAGCACTATTTGAAATTGACGCATAAAATTCCCCCAATTATTTCCACATATAAGCCGTCAGTGCACGCAGCCGCATGGCTAGAAAAGTTGAGAAATAATTTAAATGCTGTCTGTGAGCTTTTTACGAAACGAAAGTAGATAACATTTTCGGTAGGTACCATTAACTCTATTAGAGAGGATATAATCAGACAGAACCCCCATTTTAACGGAGTGAAAATTTGACTCAATGATCCAGTGGACAGAAGACTAACTGTTTGCATTATTATGGAACTATTCGAAGGAATCATAAGACTGGCCGGAAGAACAGCTATAAACATGTCTTAGGACAAGTTCGAGACAATTTATTAGCTAGTGGTTTAGGAGTATGATTCCATTTTTTAGAGTAGAAGGAGCATAGCTCGAATGTGCGACGTGCAAATATAACGACCAGTAAGGAATTTACTGTCTTAAAATACTCATCATGTAATATTAACTCTCAGAGAATGCATGGTTCAAATTCAAGAATGCTATAGGTGTCTCCAAGTACACTCATTAACTGTTCGCTCATGTAGAACAGGTTCAAAAACATCGACATATAAAGCTCCAAAACTCATTCTTTTACTAGTTTAGACCGAAACATAATCAGGTACTGTGAGATTGGAAGATGTGAAGTGTTTAGTCAGTCATACATAACGTAGGACGTGGAATATATAGGTATCGGTTCGAGTTGGCACACCACATAAGCAGTTAGATGAGATCATCAAGACAAGCCCTAGAGTAGTAGATGAAACAGTACCAGTAGTAGATTAAGTATACACAATATGATTCCACAAGTGAATTCTTAGAACAAAAGTGTTAGATAATGTCAAGTATTAATATCGAAGAATAGATCATTATCTGGAAAACTAGACCAGGATAACCAGCATCGGTTGAAGATACTACGTTTTTACATCGAACGAAGTCAGAGCAATACAAGTTGAAATTACAGGCAAACGTTTTATCCCGACTGTTGTTGCTACCTTGACGTGGTGGCCGGGCTTGCCTATCGTGATGAAGCGACAGAGCTATACTGGCTGGAACAATCGTTTCTCAAGGTCCTACCATGCCAGTCAGGTCGGTTGAAGAGCGGTAAGACTAAAAGTAACAAACCCAAGGTCTGAAGGCGAAGTCGTACTGCTGACTGTACAGAGGTGTGACAGCAGTAAGGTGTTTCATTCAGACAACCAGCATGACAGCGATGCTGCCTTCCCACAAGGAGGGGTGGGGTTAGAAAAGGTCGAGCCTAAAAATGCACATCTCGCTTTATCCCATGGATATCCGTGTACGGCGGTAATGTCTCAACAAGTGCAGAGCTAACACAAAAATTACTCATAAAAAGGTCGTGCGTGACCGACCTCAAGCAGTTGTCCCTTGGGCACTGCGGTCACGCTCTCAGGTCTCTAAGGCTACCTCTAATCCAATTTCCTTTTCGAGTACCTCCAGAAGAGCCCTTCCACGGTGTGGGCAACCGGGAAGTGATAATCGCCCTGACACCTCTAACAGCACTCAAGATCACTGTATTCATAATCAACTTCTCTCTTCAATTCCTATTATTCCTCTTACATCGACTTTCAACGCTAAACTTCCTTTTTCGGCTTCCCCCTTAAGTGTCACCATAGCCAACGATTTTAGTGCGCAAAACACTGTTCCAGGTCTACTGAAACATCGCTCCAAACTACACATTGCAGCTTTCAACGTACACACCCTATGTCAAATCGGTCAACAGGCTTCCATGGCTAGAACCCTAGAATCTCTTACCATCGATGTATGCTGTGTCTCTGAAACACGCATACAGGATCCCAGCGCGGTCATTCACTTGACCTCACCTCGACAAAACGGAGAGCCAACGAGATACATACACCCTCTGTGTATCTGATGACCCGATGGTCTCCTCTCGTGGATTGACAGAAGTAGGCATAACACTAAGCATGACGGCAGAACAAGCACCGTTAGAGTGGATCACTGGTAACAGTCATCTATGTACTGTTCGGTTAAACGGCTCCGTCAGAACTCGGAAGGATAGGGACACACATCATCACCTCGTCGTTTCTGCCTACGCTCCCACCGACTGCAGCTCAGATGAAGTGGATGATGTATTTTACAGAAAGCTAAACGTTCGGACATAGTACTTGTAGCAGGTGACTTTAATATCCAGATAGGTAGATTAATCTAAACAGAAAAGCATTTAGGTGGGTATTTTAGTATTCCGGCTCAGCGAACAGATAACGGTGATCGTCTGCTGCAACTGTGCTCAGACAATCGTTTATTTTCAGCAAACACTAATTTTAAGCATAAGGAGAGACATCGCCTAACATGGCGACCCCCTACACCAAAACAACGATGAACTCAAATAGACCATATTGCCATCAGTCATCGTTGGACAGAATCGGTAGAAGATTGTCCCTCATTCTGGTGTACCTGTTTGGACTCCGATCACGCCCTAATACGGGCACGCATCTGCTTGCGCCTCACTGAACGCAAAAAAGCCACAGTTAAAAGACTCATTAGAACTGAATTGAATAGCGAGAAAACCAAAAGTAGGTTCCAGGAACAACTGAGGTCATACTTAGGTAGTTCTGAAAACGAGGCTGACCCAGACGTTACTGGGAAAGATATACAAATAGCTGTGGAAACAGCAGTGACATCCATCAGTGATTTAAACCACATGGTTACAAAGAATCAATGGATTTCTTCAAGGTCTATTACACTGGTGGATTCTCGTAAACTCATCCCATCAGGCTCTGAACACGATGAAGAGCGTAAAGAAATCAGATCTACGTTAAGCAAAAGTCTAAAGAACGACCGTGAGCAGTGGTGGGCAACGAAAGCAAAAAAGATAGAAAAGGCGGCAGTCAGTGAGTCAGTAACAACGTAGAACTTCGTACGTACATCAGTTCGAGTTGCCACACCACATTAGCACAGAGATGCAGTGGTCGATTCAAATCCCATAGTGGTAGAGGTAATAAGAGTATAAGCAGTAATCGGAAACATTAGTGTTTGGAGATGTTACTTAAAGAGTAGAATACAGTGAAATAAACTTGAGAAGAGAAAAAAAGAGACAAGGGGGAATCAGGAGATCAAAATTTGGGAGAACACAAAGAGTGGATGCACCTGTGCCATTGCAAACGATTTTGAGCCATGTCATTCAAGGTCCCTAACCATCGGTTGCTATCATCTCGCGGTCCCCAACCAGGTAGTCTACATCTACCGACATGAATCAGTTCACTTGTCAGTGACTTCATGGACTTGTGCCATGTTTTGGTTTGGCCGCCCCTAACTTTCTTCCAGCCCACTCCTACACCATGAAAGATCGCACGTCGGGGCAAACGGTCGTTGGGCATACGTAACACGTGTCCCAGCCATCTCAAATGATGAAGTTTCACCACTTCATCAATTGATTTGCCATCCTTACCTAGTACCCGTTTCCTAACAACTGCATTACTTACTCGATGTTCTCAGGATATACGAGCAATATTTCGAAGACACTTACGATCAAATACTAGTAGTCTACGAATATCCTCTAATCTTACCGGCCATGTTTCACTGCCATAAAGCAGGACGGAACGAACTGCTGTGCAGTAAACCCGTCCTTTGGTTGACGGACGGATATCTCGCCTACGCCATAAATGACGCAAGTTAGCAAAAGCTAGTCGAACCTTCTTAGGTAGAATTTGGGAACTGGACGTAATCCCATCTGACTGGTCTCAATCACTGATTGTGCCAGTTTTTAAGAAAGGACAAAAGTCCTCTTGTGACAATCATAGAGGAATTAGTTTGACTAATATAGTGTCTAAAATATTAGCTTCAATAATACTTCGACGCCTAACCAAAGCTCGTGAAGAGCAAACTAGAGAAAATCAGACTGGTTTTCGACCTGGACGTGGTTGTATAGACCAAATATTCACACTACGTCAGGTTTTAGAACACAGACACACGTTTAGACGCCCCACAATGGTAGTATTTCTCGACCTTAAGGCAGCATTCGTCTCTGTTGATCGTAAGGTTCTATGGCAGTGTTTGTCACTGAAAGGAGTACCAAAGAAGTACATTAACCTTATTCAGGCTCTCTACTCGAACACAACTGGTAGAATGAGAGCTTATGGCGAACTGTCATCAGAATTGATTATTTAAAGAAATGTTCGTCAGGGCTGTCCACTCTCTCCTTTGTTGTTCAACTTTGTCATTGACGTACTTTTAGAGATGACACTTTCCTCATCTAAATTTCCAGGGGTTGGACTTCTACCAGGAGGTTCACTTGTTGACTTAGAATATTCCGATGACATAGTTTTATTTGGCGAAGACGCTGACAAAATGCAAAGTCTTCTGACCACTCTAAGCAACAATGCAAGCATGTTCGGGATGCGATTCTCTCCCTCGAAATGCAAAATGTTGCTTCAGGATTGGGTTGCATCGACACCCGAACTAGTGATAGGGAGTGAAGTAATTGAGTGTGTCGACCGTTTCACTTATCTTGGAAGTCTCATCAGCCCTTGTGGTTTGGTGTGTGACGAAATCTCAGCACGGATACAGAAGGCTCGACTAGCTTTTGCTAACTTGCGTCATTTATGGCGTAGGCGAGATATCCGTCTGTCAACCAAAGGACGGGTTTACTGCACAGCAGTTCGTTCCGTCCTGCTTTATGGCAGTG